CGGCATCGCGTACACCATCCAGTCGATCCCAGGCCGCCACGTGCAGGCCGGCGACGCGGGCGTCGCGCGCACCCTCGCGGCCACACCGTACGGGATCGGGTTTGACGCCATGAGCATCGTGGCGGAATCGCGGACGCTGCCGGTCGGCGACATCATCCAGGGAGGTGTTCGGATCTCGGCCACGAGATCGTCGATCGTCGAGACGGCGCGCTTGGATCTGGCCAAGCGCGCCACCACCGGATGGCCGATCGTCTACTGGAGCCACATCTACGTGCCGCCGTCGTGCGATTATGGATGCCCCAATCTGGCCACCTTCCTCGAGTGGGTCTATTGGAGGCAGACCAACACGCTCGACGTCACCGCGCGGCTCTCTGACAGCGAAGGCGCCGGCCAGGTCTCGCCCGATCTCGCCACCAGTCTCGCGCTTTCGTTTCGTCGCGTCACCTGCGGCGGACCAACCAGGACGGCTTTTGCGCGATCCGAGTGCATGGACGACGCGGGCACCACGTGTTCCAACCACGGCACGTGCGTCGTGCCTTCGGCGCTACACCATCGGGAACGCGACGTGCGACTGCCAGGCAGGATGGGAGGGCGTCCAGTGCGCGTCGGCGGTCAAGCCCACCAGCGCCGCCGCGAGCACCAACGGCGATTCGGAGCTGCGTCTCGGGCTCGGTCTCGGTCTCGGCATCGGCATCGGCGTTGGCGTCGTCTTGCTCCTACTCTTCGCGTTCGTCTGTGTGCTGGCTGCGCTCGGCGTGGGCATCGTGCGGCGCAAGCGCGAGCGACCCGCATGGGACGCGTCGATATCCGACATCGAGTTTGGCGATCTGATCGGCACCGGCGGCAACGGCGATATCCACAAGGCCAAGTGGCGCGGCACCGAAGTCGCCGTCAAGACGTTCGCCGCCCACCGCACCCATTTCTCCCGCGACGAGCTGCAGAAACTGCGCGGAGAGGTCGACATCATGAACTCCATGCGCCATCCAAATGTATCGCGTTCTACGCCGCGTGCACCAAGCCTCCGGATCTGTGCATCATCATGGAGCACATGGAGCTGGGCTCGCTCTTCGATCTCCTCGAGAACGAAGCTCGTGGAGTACCTGTTGGCGCTTCGTGTCAAGCTCGCGCTCGGGATCGCCAAGGGCATGCACTACATCCACTCGCAGGGCATCGTCCACCGCGATCTCAAGTCGCCCAACGTGCTCATCGACTCCAAGTGGAACGCCGAGGTCGCCGACTTTGGTCTCAGCACTGCGCGACACGCCGTGGGGAACTAACAGGCGGGCCTCAGCATCCCCTGGGCGGCGCCCGAGATCCTCAGCGATTCAACCACGGCCGACGGCGTGCTGGCCGACATCTACTCGTTCGGTATCATCTTGTGGGAGATCATCACGCGCGAGAAGCCCTACAATGGGATGTCACCAGCCGCGATTGCGGTCGCCGTCATCCGCGACAGAAGCGACCCGTGTTCGACGACGACGTGGTGCCCTTGCCGTATCTCAACGCCCAGGACCTCGTTTATGAGAAGGAAGTCACCGACATGCAAGATCTCACGCGTCGCTGTTGGCCCAGGACGTCGTTGAACGACCGACGCTGCCGGAGATCATCAACGCCCTCGACATCGTTGCGGGCGCGTGTGCCCCCGAGAAGCGCGTCGACGACTCGGGGGACAACTCTGGCAGCATGACGCGCGGATCCTCGTCCGGATCCAACGCGTCGTCCATGCGATCCATCTACGGCAACGTCCGGCCGACCGCCCACGGGTATGGCACGACCCAACCGCCACCGCACGACGGCGACGTCTACGTCGTCATCAGCGACATCTCCGGAGCCGATCGGCTGTGGGAGCTCTACCACTCGGCGGCGTGCGAGGCCACCATGATCCACAATGTGCTCATGCGCGATCTCATGGCAACCCACAACGGCTACGAGGTGCACATGTCCGGCCTCAAGGCGAGCATGGGCGCCGGCACCTTCTGCGTCGCCTTCCGCCAGGCGATCGGCGCCGTGGCCTGGTGCTCCAGCGCACAGCGCGCCCTCGTCGTCGCCGACTGGCCCGCCGGGTTGCTGCGCATCAACGGCGCACACGCCGAGTACGGCAACTCGTCCGACGAACACTTTGTCTACCGCGGACTGCGCGTGCGCATGGGCGTGCACGTCGGCCCGGTGCGTCGCATCATGGACCCCAAGACGCGCCGCGTCGAGTACATTGGTCCGGCGGTGAAGGGAGCCAGGCCATCGCGCACGTGTCGTCAGGGGGTCAGGTGCTTGTGTCGCCCGACGTCAAGGCCGAGCTCACCGACCTGCCCGATGAGATCGGGCGGATGCGTCCCCTTCGGATCCAACACATGGGCAACATCGATCTCGAGCAAGCGGCGCCCGAGGGGATCGCCTACCAGCTGATCGTGAACTCGCTCGAGATGCGCGCCAAGAATCATGTGCGGTTCAACGACGACTGCGACGTGCTCCAGCTGCCCGCCGAGGACATGAGCCTGCTGGTGTCGGCCAACAAGTGCCGGTGGTTTATTGACCCGCGAGATAGAGACCGGCAAGGTGATCGGACGCGGGACGAGCGCCGTCGTCTACAGGGGCCTGTGGAGCAAGTCGACGCCGGTCGCCGTCAAGATCTTCAACCGGTCGAAAATGACCGAGGAGCAGGCGCTCCGATTCCGCGTCGAGGTGGCCACTCTCGCCGAGCTCTCGCATCCCAACGTCCTGCTCTTCATCGGCGCCACCATCGGCGACAAGCACCTCTCGCTCGTCGTGGCACCCCCCTGCGGCAGCCTCGCCGGCGTGCTCGCCAACGCCTCCGAGTTCCCGCTCACGTTCACCCAGCGCATGCACATGGCCTACGGCGCCGCGCGCGGTGTGCGCTACCTCCACTCGCTCGATCCGCCGCTGCTCCACCGCGATCTCAAGTCGTGAACCTGCTCGTGGACGACTGCACGACCTGCACTTTTGCTATTGTGTTGTGAACATACTTCTTTCTCTCATCATTATAACTGTGTACAAAGTGCTTGGCCGCATAACATGTCTAGCCCATGGCCCGGTGGTGCGGATAGCCGGGATAGGGAGGATAGGGCAGGCCGCCGGAGGAGGGGTGCGCGGGATAGGGCGGGTGGAGTCCGCCGCCCAGGGGCCGGTAGCGCGGAGGCCGGGGGAAGGCGGGAGGCGGAAAGAAGCCGTGGTTGAAACCATCACCATCGTAGTCGTCGCCCTGATCGTTGTCTGGCGGCGCGACGTGGTGCACCTCCTCGGCGCCCAGCAGGCGATAGATCTTGGACTTGACATCGACGGTGAGGATCTGGCTGTTCTTGAAGCGGCCGCCCTGTGATGTGATGAACATCCATCAAGTAGCGCTGTAAGCGACCAATGATTCATGACCCACCCGACGCGTCGAGTGTAGAGAAAGATGTCAAAAGAGAGAAGAGGCAACACACGCACGGCAAAGAGGATCTCCTTGGCGGCGCGT